GGGGACATGATCACCACATTCAAGATTCTGAAGGGGATTGATAGGGTAGATAAAGACAGTCTATTTAACACAAGGGGAACACGCACAAGGGGACACAGGTAGAAACTGAGTGCCCAAATGAGCCACAGAGATATTAGAAAGAACTTTTTTAGTGTCAGAGTGCTTGACAAATGGAATGCATTAGGGGGTGATGTTGTGGAGGCTGACTCCATACACAGTTTCAAGTGTAGATATGACAGAGCCCGATAGGCTCAGGAATCTGTACACCTGTTGATTGACGGTTGAGAGGCGGGACCAAAGAGCCAGAGCTCAACCCCCGCAAACACAACTAGGTGAGTACAACTAGGTGAGTACACACACACCCACACACACCCACACACACCCACACACACCCACACACACACACACACACCCACACACACACACACCCTAGCATTTAGCGTCCAGTTTAGTGGTAACCACAACAGTAATTACAGTAACAGCAGTAGGCCTAGTAGGGATAACGGGCGTAGGCCTAATAACAGGAGCTGTAGCGACAACAAGGGGGAGAGAATCAATTGAAGGCACGCGGGCACTCCCTGCAGCACCCCTTCACCGCTGAGCCACGACGTGCTACAAGTTTATATCCAAAAACTTAATGTTTTATATCACAAGCGTTTAAGTATGTATAATCTGAATTTATGTAAATATAATCTAAATTTATGTAAATATAATCTGAATTTATGTATATATAATCTAAATTTATGTAAATATAATCTGAATTTATGTAAATATAATCTGAATTCATGTATATATAATCTAAAACAAGAAATGAATCATACAATTATTGAGTATTTATTAATTGACAGTTTACAAGCAAAATTAAATCAATTATTTATAAAAGAAAACGGGAACACTAAGAGCAGCCCGAGACTATTTTAATAGTTTATATCTATAATCTATTCTAATAGATCATCATATATATATAATAGAAGTGGCAAGATGTCGGCTATACTAGTGATGAGTAACTGGGTTAATTTGATTTTTTTTTTTATACAAATTGTCGACATTTAAAATATATATTACGCAAATCTTCGCGTTTTCTATCGTATGTAGTGTTAAAAATAAAATATTTTCGATCCACTTTTTGAAGGATAAGCAACATATTTTTTCATGGTATAATTAGTTTAAAATTTTAAAGCCTCTGTATTTTACATAAATGTTTAGCGCAATCTAGTTTTTCCAAGGGTTCAGTTTTCCAAGGGTTCAGTTTTCCAAGGGTTCAGTTTTCCAAGGGTTCAGTTTTCCAAGGGTTCAGTTTTCCAAGGGTTCAGTTTTCCAAGGGTTCAGTTTTCCAAGGGTTCAGTTTTCCAAGGGTTCAGTTTTCCAAGGGTTCAGTTTTCCAAGGGTTCAGTTTTCCAAGGGTTCAGTTTTCCAAGGGTTCAAGGGTTCAAAAACAATTTGAACTTGCAGTTCTGATTTCAAACAGGATTTAAAATACTCCACATTTCCGTGGAAAGGAAGATTCAATTCGCATGGGTTATAGGAGGCTCGAACGCGGACCAGTTCGGTCGATAGAGCCTGGTGTGCCTCTCACGCGTAGTAGGGGATTAGCAGTTCGAGTCTGCTAGCGCCCAGGTGATTGGACTGGAGGATTTTTCAAATATCTTTTAGACCAGTGCCAGGTATTGATTGTTGCAGCACAGGTAGGGAGCAACGGGCAGGTGTTGCGAGAGTAGCAGCAGTAGCAGTAGCAGCAGCAGTAGTAGTGATAGAAGAGATGTTGTTGTTCAGCTAAGATTCAGCTACTGGGAACAAAAAGTTCCACGAACTTCCTGCCATTCCTCCTGGTCTCGTGTGGAGTTATTTCCGTGTGCAGATTCGGAACCAGTTCCTATGATATTTGATATCTGCTTGATACCTGGTTGATGGTGTTCTGGGAGTTCTTCTACTCCCCAAGAGTAGCTCGAGGCCAGGCTTGACTTGTGAGAGTTTGGTCCACCAGGCTGTTGCTTGGAGCGGCTCGAGGCCAGGCTTGACTTGTGAGAGTTTGGTCCACCAGGCTGTTGCTTGGAGCGGCCCGAGGCCAGGCTTGACTTGTGAGAGTTTGGTCCACCAGGCTGTTGCTTGGAGCGGCCCGAGGCCAGGCTTGACTTGTGAGAGTCTAGTCCACCAGGCTGTTGCTTGGAGCGGCCCGAGGCCAGGCTTGACTTGTGAGAGTTTGGTCCACCAGGCTGTTGCTTGGAGCGGCCCGAGGCCAGGCTTGACTTGTGAGAGTTTGGTCCACCAGGCTGTTGCTTGGAGCGGCCCGTGGCCAGGCTTGACTTGTGAGAGTTTGGTCCACCAGGCTGTTGCTTGGAGCGGCCCGAGGCCAGGCTTGACTTGTGAGAGTTTGGTCCACCAGGCTGTTGCTAGGAGCGGCCCGAGGCCAGGCTTGACTTGTGAGAGTTTGGTCCACCAGGCTGTTGCTTGGAGCAGCCCGAGGCCAGGCTTGACTTGTGAGAGTTTGGTCCACCAGGCTGTTGCTTGGAGCAGCCCGAGGCCAGGCTTGACTTGTGAGAGTCAAGTGTAAATTATTACGTATCTCGTCCACCTGCGCTCTAGAGAACAATTCTGTTTTGGTGTTTTGACAATTAGAAACACACTTTTTCTCTAAGACAACTTCAACATTCTTTCCTTCTGAAGACACATTGGGTTTCGGCATCTTCCAGGGCGACCTTTCGCTGCTTATAATCTCCTCCCAACCCCTGTACCTCCTTTACCCCACCCTTGCCCCTACCTCTTACCCCTACCCATCTTGCCCCCTACCTCAATGATCTACGTCCCTGGCATCCATCCCACTGGCAGCAGGCGGAGATGATTGAGTGCCAGCATCTTGTGCACTTTCTTGCCGCCAGGGTTTGCATCATGACCGCAGGACAATGTGTGGTGTGGTCTTACTTTGTGTGTGGGGGGGAGGCGGGGAAGCCCATCCGGCTGGAGGGGAGGGGGGGGAGGGGAGGGGGGCCCCATCCGGCTGGAGGGAGGGGGGCCCCTCCCCCCCCCCCCTCTCCCTCCACATGAAGATAGCATCCTTCATCGGCACATTTCCGGTCGTTTGTCCGAGGAAGCTGAGGCATTGTTCCTTCGATATTAGATCATGTCCGGCCTGAGGGATTGTTTGGGCGGCCGGGCGCGGGCTTGGCCAGCTGGTCTGGTGTGAGGGGGGGGGGGGGGGGGGGGTGGAAATGGAAGTTTGGGTGGGAGGGGGAAGGTGGAAGAGATGGAAGGGAAGATGGAGTACTGTTGCTGAGGAATTGTGAAGATGTGGCCGGATTTTTCGTAGGGATTGACAAAGTGTTAATATTTACTTTTAGGATTTTTGTAAGTCTTTCTGTACTGTGAAAGGAATGTGTTCACCCTTCCTTCCATCCTTCCCTTCTTTCTCCATCCTCTTACCTTCTCTATTCCCTCCATTTACCAGGATCTTCTCCATTCCTTATTCTCTCTCACCTCCTCCCTATTCTCTCCCACCTCGAGGTGTCGTTCGTCAGTAATGTGTCTCTTCATGTGGGGTAATAGTCTGTCTTGAAGACGTCTTGAAGGGCGAGAGGCATCCGGATTCCCGCGCGTTCGCGGAGGGGGATTACCCTTCGTCAACACTACGTAGGATAGGCTGTAGTGTGCTAGCCGGCGTATACTGTTGGGTGGATTATGGAGAGATCTTCAGGAACGAGAAGATGGATGAAGATGTTGCGCACACGCGCGCGTACACACACACTCACACTCACATACACACACTCACACTCACATACACACACACATACACACAGATACACATACACACATACACACATACACACTCACACTCACATACACACACTCACACTCACACTCACATACACACACACACACACACACACACACACACACACACACACACACACACACACACACACACACACACACACACACACACACACACACCCACACCCCCACCGCCAAACACAACTCATTTTCCGGCTACTTCCCCATAATGGCCGGTTAGGGGTCTACCTAGCGCAAATAAGCACGCGCTGTCGAGTCGTAATTGCCTCCAAATTGGCCGGCGTGTTGAGAGGAAGACGGGAGCGGCTTAACACTCACCAAACTAAACACGCTGGCAAAGAGAGCAAAGACACGTTCCTTAGTATCTTCGCCAGGCGCAACGGCGCTCACTATGGAGCTTTCTTAACCTACAACTGAGCAGCCAAAGTGCAGAATCTGTGATGAGAGTGACGGACACCGCCTTGATCACTATCTTCTTATCTTGAGGTTATCTTGAGATGATTTCGGGACTTTTAGTGTCCCCGCGGCCCGGTCCTCGACCAGGCCTCCACCCCCAGGAAGCAGCCCGTGACAGCTGTCTAGCTCCCAGGTACCTATTTACTGGTAGGTAACAGGGGCATCAGGGTTAAGGAAACTGTCCATTGTTTCTCGCCGGTGCCTGGGATCGAACCCAGGACCACAGGATCACAAGTCCAGCGTGCTGTCCGCTCGGCCGACCGGCTCAATCTAATTCTTGTCTCGGAGTTTTTCATTGTGGCGGCAATGATGCATTCAACATTCGCCAATGAATGAAATGAGGAATGCAGGAGAGAGAAGGAACAAAAGTAGAGAAGGAGATGAAGGAAGGAAGGAAGGAAGGGGAAGGTCCGTAAGAGAGCCCTTGGTCCTTCTCAGCCTTTAAGATTTAGCTCTCGTATTTCATGCCTGGCCTGAAAGCACATTGAATTTCCGTGTATTGCTATGTATTTTCCGGCATTAGGCGCCTATTGATATTCCGGCTCTGTGTTTGGGAGAGCTATCTCAGGACTTCCCTGAGAGTTCTCACAGCACAAGAGCTGCTCTCTCAGCCTCTCACGCTCTCAGAACCTAAGATGTGCTAGGTTAGGGGGGGGGGCTGAGAGTGGGGTGGAGAAAGGAGGAAGAAAGAGTGAAAAGGCAGTTAGACTCTCTGAGAGTGCTCTTAAACTCTTAACTCTGAGGCACGGTTGAATCTATCATGTGTGAGGCGAGTTTTGAGAGTTTAAGGAAGGGGGAGCAAAGCCAACAGGAGCAGCATCAACGGGAGCAACAGCATCAACAGGAGCAGCATCCATGAGAACAGGAGCAGCATCCATGAGAACAGGAGCAGCATCCATGAGAACAGGAGCAGCATCCATGAGAACAGGAGCAGCATCCATGAGAACAGGAGCAGCATCCATGAGAACAGGAGCAGCATCCATGAGAACAGGAGCAGAATCCATGAGAACAGGAGCAGCATCCATGAGAACAGGAGCAGCATCCATGAGAACAGGAGCAGCATCCATGAGAACAGGAGCAGCATCCATGAGAACAGGAGCAGCATTCATGAGAACAGGAGCAGCATCCATGAGAACAGGAGCAGCATCCATGAGAACAGGAGCAGCATCCATGAGAACAGGAGCAGCATCCATGAGAACAGGAGCAGCATCCATGAGAACAGGAGCAGCATCCATGAGAACAGGAGCAGCATCCATGAGAACAGGAGCAGCATCCATGAGAACAGGAGCAGCATCCATGAGAACAGGAGCAGCATCCATGAGAACAGGAGCAGCATCCATGAGAACAGGAGCAGCATCCATGAGAACAGGAGCAGCATCCATGAGAACAGGAGCAGCATCCATGAGAACAGGAGCAGCATCCATGAGAACAGGAGCAGCATCCATGAGAACAGGAGCAGCATCCATGAGAACAACAATGGTTACAACTGTGTTAAACGAAGTAGTAACGTTAATGAGTGGTGGCACTCTTCACACTATCCTGGCACTCTTCACACTATCCTGGCACTCTTCACACTATCCTGGCACTTCACACTATCCTGGCACTCTTCACACTATCTTCGCACTCTCCACGCTACCCTGGCACTCTTGACAGAGCCCTGGCACTCTTGACAGAGCCCTGGCACTCTTGACAGAGCCCTGGCACTCTTGATAGAGCCCTGGCACTCTCCACAGAGTCTAGGCACTCTTCACAGAGCCCTGGCACTTCACAGAGCCTAGGCATTCTTCACAGAGCCCAGGCACTCTTCACAGAGCCTAGGCACTCTTCACAGAGCCCTGGCACTTCACAGAGCCCTGGCACTCTTCACAGAGCCCTGGCACTCTCCACAGAGCCCTGGCACTCTCCACAGAGCCCTGGCACTCTCCACAGAGCCCTGGCACTCGTGACTGCCGTCCCTCAAGGCACTATGGCGTTCTAAGAACTGCCAGTCGTAAGGACGTGTTGCAGGAGACTGGACAAACTGGTCCAGACTCCTGGACCTGGAGTCCAGGAATCTGGACCAGGATCTGGTCCAGACTCCAATTGCTGGAGACTGGATCTCTCCTGGTCTGTACAGGAGAGATCAAGTTGGTAGTCTCCTACACTCCCTCCTCTTCCTTCCCTCCCAAGATCTTTTTCACAACTACAGGGAGATCAAAAGCCAATTAACGTATGCTTTGATGTCTGAAAGAGCATCTATTGCCGCCCCCCTTTGAAGGAGGCTGGCAGTTCCTCTCTTTTCCCCCCCTTTGGTTCCTGCTCGTGTCCCTGGGGTCAGGGACGCCCCCCTGACCTTTCTCTCCCTCCCTACCCCTTTGGTGTAGCCTCTGGCGTCCACACCGTCAAGCGGGTACCTTCGTCAGGCTCCGATTAGGGGATTAGCGCGCCAGTAGGTAGTGGAGAGCTGGCAGGCCTGTTCGGATCCCCTCTAGGGGTTGTTGGGCCAGGGGTAACCCCTTCGTAACCGGTTTGCTGACCCCCCTAGCAGTAAATAGGTACCTGGGAGTTAGACAGCTGCTATGGGCTGCTTCCTGGGGGGTGGTTGTTGTTGCTTAAGATTCGCTACCTGGAACAAAAAGTTCCAAACAGGACGGGCCACGGTGAGCCCGCAACCTGAGAGGGGGGGGGGGGGGGTGTAACAAAGAGGAGGCCTGGTCGAGGACCGGGCCGCTGGGACGCCAAGCCCTGAAATCATCTCAAGATAACCTCAAGAAGATAATCCCTTACGAGTGCTATATAGTCGTAATGGCTTGGTGCCTTGCCCCTGATAGTTCCCTTCCCTTGGGGTTTGGTGGAGGAGGTGGTTGGGGAGGTTGTCCGGGTGTTGGACATTATCTTGCTGCTTGTGTGGAAATGACGAGGGAGTTTGTCCAGCAGAACAACTCTCGAAACCCTCTGCAGGTATGGTCCAGGTAACAAGATTGTTTAGCGTCGCACCTGTTGGGCTTCTTTGTTTACTTTTCAAGGGGGGGGGGTGTACTCACCTAGTTGTGCTTGCGGGGGTTGAGCTCTGGCTCTTTGGTCCCGCCTCTCAACTGTCAATCAACAGGTGTACAGGTTCCTGAGCCTACTGGGCTCTATCATATCTACACTTGAAACTGTGTATGGAGTCAGCCTCCACCACATCACTGCCTAATGTATTCCATTTGTCTACTACTGTGACACTGAAAAAGTTCTTTCTAACGTCCCTGTGGCTCATTTGGGTACTCAATTTCCACCTGTGTCCCCTTGTTCGCGTACCACCCGTGTTAAACTGTTTAATCCTTGTCTACCCTTTCAATTCCTCTTGAGAATTTTGTAGGTTATGGTCATGTCTCCTCTTACTCTTCTGTCTTCTAGTGTCGTGAGGTGCATTTCCCGCAGCCTTTCCTCGTAACTCATGCCTCTTAGTTCTGGGACTAGCCTAGTGGCAAACCTCTGAACTTTTTTCAGTTTCGTCTTGTGCTTGACAAGGTTCGGGCTCCATGCTGGGGCCGCATACTCCAGGATTGGAAGAGGCACTCTTTGAGTAGGTGTGAAGCAGAGTAGAGGAACAGGAGTTTGAGAGAGGACGAGTGTAGGGAAAGTAGTAGCAGTGTCAACTCAGTAGAGGTGCAGTTAGAGTAGAAGTTCTTATAGATTCATCAAACATTTATGCATCTACTTGCGAAACCTCTACATCTCTCCTCAATGAAGGCGACTTTGTCTACGTTTATTAAGCAGTTGACGAGTTTTGAATTTAAGCATCCTAAGATTGATTGACCATGATTGCTATGGTCACCCCTGCCGTGCTTCCGTGTTCTTAAAGTGTAAACAAAGCCGCCATGTTTGAGGAAAGATTTACAGGTTTCGTAAGTAGATGCGTAAATACTTGAGGATTTCTGGCCCTGGCATATCTTTAAAGCTCTTGAAAATGAACAAATCCACAAGGGCCGTGACGAGTATTCGAACCTGCGTCCGAGAGCATCCCAGACGCTGCCTTAATCGACTGAGCTACGACATGGTCAAAAGGAGTTGAAACCGAAGTTCTACTGAACTTACTGGATCCCGTAAAATCCTGGTTTGTGCCTCGGAGAGGCTGCGGGATCCAGTAAGTTCAGTAGAACTTCGGTTTCAACTCTTTTAACCCTGTCGTAGCTCAGTCGATTAAGGCAGCGTCTGGGATGCTCCCGGACGCAGGTTCGAATCCTCGTCACGGCCCTTGTGGATTTGTTCATTTGATACATCACGCAATTGTGATTTCTGTGTGTAATGTCTCTTGACTCTATTCTGTGTAATTAGAAGTCCCCCCGTGGCGCAGTGGTAACACAGTCACCTTGCGCGTATCTAGGGGTTTGACCTGGGTTCGTATCCAGGCGCCAATCCTTAAGTGTACTCCTCTGTTCACCTAGCATGTTGTTGTTGTTGTTTAAGATTCGCTACTTGGAACAAAAAGTTCCAAGCAGTTGGAAAGTTCCAAGTAGCACGGGCTATGGTGAGCCCGCAGTGGACTTACCTGGCACAGGAGCGGGGCTGTAACTTGATATGGAGTTGATGTAGGCGTAGACGAGGGCAGATGAAGGCGTGAATGAAAGACAAAGGTGGAACTTTGTATTTAAATGATTCATTATAATATGTATTAATATAATTAATGTTTCACCTGCTAATTAGTGTTTGGTCTTGTGTTCCAGGTGAGTGTTGGCACAGGTGAAGCGGGTGCCTGGCACCTGAGGTGAGTGTCAGGTCAGGTGGTTATCTTGAGATGATTACGAGGCTTAGCGTCCCCGCGGCCCGGTCCTCGACCAGGCCTCCTTTTTGTTACACATCCCCCAGTAAGCAGCCCGTAGCAGCTGTCTAACTCCCAGGTACTTATTTACTGCTAGGTAACAGGGCCATCAGAGTGAAAGAAACTGTCCATTTGTTTCAGCCTCCACCGGGAATAGAACCCGGAACCTCAGGACTACGAATCCGAAGCGCTGTCCACTCAGCTGTCAGGCCCCTCTATAGTATGGTTAATTAGGTTATAAAATCCGTTAACGGATTGTCTTGTTTACGATGCGTCGTTCATCCTGCCACGCAGTTTGATCTTCATTTACGTTCTCGTTTTCTTTGTGCTTCCTGGGAAAGAAAAACATTTGAACGTTAACGGCCGTAACCGTCTTGATCATTGTTGTTAATGGTATTATCACCATTAATGGTGATAATAAGGGTGTCACGGTAGCCAGGGTCGTAGTTTGGAAGGGCGGGACTGTGTTTCAGGTAATGCCCAGGCGGCCTTTGAGGTTATTTCGTGAAATTAATGGCTGGATGTGGCAGTATCGCGCGTCCGCGGCTTCCTGCCCGCCTCCAGGTCATTAGTTTGGGCGCGAATTTTCTCGCGCGGTAATTTTTGTCACTGCGCATTGGTTCGTGCAGGTCGGAGGCGCGTATGGGCTCTGTTGAGATCGGAGATTCAGGCTGGAATTGCATTTCCAGGTTGGAACTACGTATGTGTCGAATGTTTGCGGTTTCAGCAGGTCGGCGGGGGGTGTCGACGGGCCTGCACCCCGCGCCTAGACAATCCGTCGGCGCTATTAAGACCGCCACAGTATTTCACCTAATTAGAATTTACGGCGTGTAAAATCTGCATACGTCGATTTGCGGCAGACAGGGGGGTGTTGTTCTTCCTCCCCTTCCCCTTATCTCCACCCTATCCCTTTCCCCCCAGCAACACCCTTATCTCTACACCCCCCTTACCTCGACACCCCTTAGTCCCCCCCCCCCTCCGCCTTCTCAGGTCCCTCTCGGCCCAGGGTTTAGGGATTTTATGGAGAACATAACTTTTAGTATTGACGTTCTTGGGGTCCTCTCGCCTGTTGTCCTCTCTCTCCCGTTATCCCCGCTGCTGTCACCCGTTGTCGCTTCCGTTTGCTGTCACTCGTTGTCGCTTCCGTTTGCTGTCACCCGTTGTCGCTTCCGTTTGCTGTCACCCGTTGTCGCTTCCGTTTGCTGTCACCCGTTGTCGCTTCCGTTTGCTGTCACCCGTTGTCGCTTCCGTTAGCTGTCACCCGTTGTCGCTTCCGTTCGCTGTCACCCGTTGTCGCTTCCGTTTGCTGTCACCCGTTGTCGCTTCCGTTTGCTGTCACCCGTTGTCGCTTCCGTTCGTTGTCACCCGTTGTCGCTTCCGTTTGCTGTCACCCGTTGTCGCTTCCGTTAGCTGTCACCCGTTGTCGCTTCCGTTCGCTGTCACCCGTTGTCGCTTCCGTTCGCTGTCACCCGTTGTCGCTTCCGTTCGCTGTCACCCGTTGTCGCTTCCGTTTGCTGTCACCCGTTGTCGCTTCCGTTTGCTGTCACCCGTTGTCGCTTCCGTTCGCTGTCACCCGTTGTCGCTTCCGTTTGCTGTCACCCGTTGTCGCTTCCGTTCGCTGTCACCCGTTGTCGCTTCCGTTCGCTGTCACGCAAGCTGCTTCCTTGTAGGGGATTAATTCTC